CTCTCTCTCTCTCTCTCTCTCTCTCTCTCTCTCTCTCTCTNTCCCCAGCTCATCTAACATCCATCTACCTATCCACCCAGCCAAACTCCCAGTATCCCGATTCCTTATCCCTCCCCTCCTCCCGGCCGTCGCGCATCCATCCATCCACCTCCCTTCCCAGCAGCCCAAACCTCACGCACACACACACACACACACACACACACACACACACACACACACATACACACATACACACATACACACAGACATAAATACCTCTATCAGTTGGCACCAACCCACCAACCCATCCATCCATCCAAACCACACCTACCTATCTATCTAATATCAATAAAAGATCAGTAAAAAAATAATAATACAACAATCAACCAACAAATCAATCAATCAATCAAACCTCACCCTGCATTCATTTTCCCCTTTCCTTTCCCCTTTCCCCTTTCCCCTTTCCCTTCTTTCCCCTTTCCCTTCTTCCCTCCTTTTATCCATCTGCTGCGTGCGCGTACCTGCCGCGCCTCCGTTTGCCGCGCCGCGCGTTCGGTTTGTTCCATTGCATTCGATTTTATTTTTGATTAGATTTGATTCGACTTGATTCGATTTGATCAGATTAGATTAGATTGATTGATGAATTTGCCTACCCTGCTCTGCTTTCCGCTCTCGTTCGTTCGTTCGTTCGTTCGTTTGCCTGCCTGTCTGCCCGCCTGTCCATCTCATTCATCCATTCATCCATTCATTCATTCATTCATTAGCATGCAGCTGCGGCTGTGGTTGTGGTTGGTTGGGCGGTACAATCCATTTCGACGTCAGTGTCATATCAAAGATCAATTTTCTGAAAGCCTGATGAGGCGTTATCTCGATCCATCCCTCACCCTTATTGACTGACGCCGGGTCCGTCTACCGTCCGTTGAGAAAGGGGAGAGAGGGAGAGAGGGAGAGAGGGAGAGAGGGAGAGAGGGAGAGAGGGAGAGAGGGAGATAGAACAAGAAAGGGAGGGAGGAAAACAAAACAAAAAGAAGAAAAAAGAGATGAAAAAGAAAAGAAAAAGTTATAAGATGAGGTGGGCCTGTAGTCGACATAAGTATACCGTCGCCTGAACAAGCCCACAGTCCGTATTCCATTTTCATCAGCCCTTTGGAAGAACACTCAAAGGATTACATAACTTCTCATTTGTACATTAGTTTACACATTTGTTCATCTCGTGGTGCGCGTACCCAGGTCTATCTCTCTCCTCGTGGACCAACCTCTAAAATGACCATGGCCACCACGCATTCGGCATATCTCGCTCCCGCTCCCATGAAGTCTTACCACTCCCAGATTAAGGAAACTGCTCGTCTCTCATGCTCATGAATCAATCCAAACCCAGCCATAAAGACACGAAAACCGAACTCGTAAAATGTACAAAAGAAAATGACATATCATCGTTGATTTGAGAGTTTCCAAGCCATCCATCCAACCATAACACCATGCAATTCTCCACATCTGGACCCATCCAGATAGACGCCTTTGTTCATCAAAAGTTTTTCAAGCAATCTCACTGAGCCGCAGCCTGTGCATTCGGTCGAGGAGCCTCGGAATGCTTGATTGGAGGGGAGAGATCCTGCAATGGAGAGCTAGGAGTTAGAGAAGCGACGGGTGGTATGATCGAGGGCGTAGCTGAGCTGAAGCTTCCGTTCGAGATTTGTCTGGGCGGCGAGTGCTTGGTTGGCGAGAGACCGGTTGTGGCGGAAGGCAATGCTGATGCGTGGCCGGAGTCGGAGGGGTCGTGTGAGATGGCCGGCTGCCACGATGGCGGTGGAGGCGGGGAGGACTTGGGGAGCATTGCCGGAGTCGAGGTTGGCGGAGGGGTATTGGAGTTGGGAGCCATCACGGGTGGTGGGTTTGGCTTGTTGTTTGGAGTCAGGACTGGAACCCCAGCAAGAGGCGATGGCATATTGAAAGAGCTTCGGTGGTGGCCACCATCGCTTGATCCCGGACCAGGGCCATTCAGGACGTGTGATGCAGGTGTTGTGCCATAGATGTAATTACCTGCTGGTGAGCTTTGAGCCGCAGATCTAGCAGGTTGGATGGGTGTATTTTGTGGTGCTGGGTTGGATTGTTTGTAACTTCCGTTAGGGCCAAATGTAAACACAGGAGGCTGTCCTGGTTGAGGCAGACTGGTTGGAATATGTGGATGGGGCGAAGAGAACACATGCGAGCTAGGAGCCCGAGCGACACCGTATGGAGATGGAGCTTGATAGCTAGTAGCAGCTTGACGTCCGGAAGGGCGTTGCGGTGATAGCTGACATCCATTGCTCTGTTCCACAGGTGCTGGGGAGCTTAGCATCGATGGATGTGGTCCAGATTGGGCTGGGTGGTGTTGTTCTCCGTTCGGTCTCGGGAACTGGATCGGCCCTCCAAAAAGGGAGGGTTGAGTGACCTTCTGAGGAGAGATTTGAGGATTTAGGTTCCCATCTGCCAGGGGATTAGCAGGCAGAGAGCCATTTGACTTAGGTGCTGTTGATGACGACGAGGATCCAGGTCGTTTAAGCACGAGCTTGATTGGTGGGTGCGTCTTGGCTTTCTCTGCATCCTTTCCACGGTTTTGACAAGTGGTGCAGATGAAGGCAAAGTCGTCGCGTTCTGCCTCTTTTTGACTAACGCCCGCGCACTTGCTGTGTTGCCAGATGTTGCAAGTATCACACGCAATGCTGTGTGTACCATCATCGACTTGTCCATAGACTCCGCAGATGCAATCAAAGATCCAGTCATCTTCCTGCTCAAGTTCTTCGAGAGCCGCCTTCTTTCGCTCGATTTCTGCCTTCATCTGGCGCTCAGAAAGTCGGGCCTCGCCACTCTCAAGTTTCTTGCCATTTTCGGACAGGTTGGCAAGCTCCTCCTCGTGCAAAATCCGGCGAGCTTCGCGTTCCTTCAATCGCTGTTCTCGGGTTTGCATCCTAGAGTCTCTCTCCTTCTCCAATTTCTGCCACTTTTCTTGCTCCTTCTTGGCCAATGCAAGCTCGATGACCTTCTTGCGTTCGGCTTCACGCTGCTCTTCTTCATGATGCTTCTGCTCCATTCTGCCTGCGATTCTGGAGGATCGCTTTGCGGTAGCAAGCTTCTCTAGGTTCATTAGCTCTCTCTCCTTTTGTGCTTGCTTGCGCTTCCGAGATTCTTCTTGCTTCTCAAGTATTGGCAGGATTTCGTCAACGATACGCTTCCGCAAGCTCTTCTCGTTTGGGTCTCGCGACTTCTCGATAGAAGCAACGAAAGTGTTGAACTCGTCTAGGGTCACGGCGATACATTCCCAAGCCATCCCACCAAACCCATCATCCTCTGGGGCAGCGGTCGCGTCGTTGTCTTTTTTCTCGGGCTTTGCTTCGTCATTACGCTCGGTCTCACTTTCGGCTTGCTCCACAGCTTTTTGTTGCCTGCTTGCTCGTCGCATAGCTCTGCCCTTCTTCGAATTCCTCTTGGGCTTCGGCTCGGGAGTGGGTGGTAGAGGAGGGTCGGTCCGTCGGTAGAGGCGATTGTCATCCAGTACGATGTACGTACGATCCTGAGCGTCCCATCCATACGGCTCGATTCTCTGTTAAATGGTTGTTAGCGGGAAACCAACATTGCAACCGCGGCACCACCTACCCATAGTGTTTGCTCCGTATCCTTTTGTTCCTCCATTCGCTCACGAATGCGATCGGGGTTTACCATAGTCCATACCGTAAGCTGTTGCAGGACTCGGATCTATTCAGAGATGAGCTATGTTCGCCCACAATGGATGCTAGCTATAGCGCACCTTTGTGAACACATCAAAGTCCTTGAAGCAGTTGGGATCTTCCCCGACGCCAAAGGGATTTCGGCCAGGTGCCTTAGCAACATATTGTCTTCGGGTATACTCATCAAATGTCTCGGGCCTACGCAGGTTTAGCGTTGACAATGGCGAGGGCCAGTCATACATACGTAAGACCTCTGTGTGAAGAAACAAACTTGAGGAGCGCGAGTCCGATCTCAGAGAGAATTGTCGAATGGGGGTTCAAGCATTCCATTTCCAAGTCCTATAACGAAGCATCAGTCTGTGAGAGGCCACAGGCGTCGGGGTGGTGCAGGGAGCGGAAGGGAGGAGAGTCGAACCGCAATATCCAGATTCTCGTCAATCTTCACCGCCCGACCAAAGGTGTAAATCCATTGTGCCAAGTTGGCAAACTCCCACGAGTTGCGTATGCGCTTGAGGAGAGTTGGTTCTCGGGGGGGATCGACGGCTTCCATCTCCTGTCGTCCTCTCTTCCTAGAGGAGCCCATCTTGGAAGAGGGTCGGACACCTTTGCACGTTGACGTGGTTGTCGCAACTATGAGGGAAGAGGCAAAGATTACACTGGCTTTGAATAGATGCTCACCACAAAGATATTGCTGGAGCGAAAGGTGGTTTCCTAAGGGTGGATGTTGGAGTTGGAGTTGGCGCCTTCGTGCTTGTCGAGCGTCAAGGTTCGAGGGTCGAGAGGCTGTAGAACGAAAAGACGTGAGGAATTCACGGTCGCGTCAAGATAGGGATTAACGCTATTCAATATCGGGACTAGCCGATTGACATGGGCCTATGCACACGGAAAAAGTATATTCCGAGAGAAGCGTCCAAACGTGCATTGTTGCAGAAGACGGAGTCAGTCACATTGTAGTTGTGAGCATAGAGATTTTCAACTCTTTACCTATTGATTTATGCAATGAAGTAGGTACCTAGGTAGTGCTTTTACATTACTAGTACAAAGTATGTATTAACAATCCTACATTCTGATTTCTTTGCCGCCTCAACCTCTGTGCGACGGCACTGGTCTGGATTGGTGTGGTCTAGTTTCAACCTGGCAGGCATATTACAAGTACAGTAGCTACCACTCTATCTTTTGTACGTCTCTGTCCCCCTTTTCGAAGTAAACAAGCCCGTCTTACTTCCCTCATCCTACTTTCCCCCATCCTTATGGCATACATAATAATAGGTACTCTCTTACCTACCTACCTACCTACCTACCTACCTCCGTACTACCATGTACCTACCCGTGAGACATACGAATACCTCCGTACTTCAAGACAGATCTCCAGCCTAGCCTGACTCAGCCCGGTCTGTCCCAGAATAGCATCGAACGCATCTGTCAGCTGCGCTACGTGTAGTAAGTACTCGCTTAAAGCACTAAAAAGTATACTGTACTCCGTACGTACGGACTCTGGCCAACGGCCCAAGGCACGGTGCGCTGCTCACCCACAGCGCCAGGTTGCTCGTTACAGAAAAGATTCATCTCAAAGTCCACATCCCGTCTTGCTTATGACTATCACAACTACATTCTTTTGATCCTGGCGCCTGGAAGAGAGAAAGACAGAAAGCACAAAAGCACAAACAAAACGAAAGAAAGGAGGATTCGCTACTCCTCACAAGGAGCGTACTCGCCGCCCGGAATCATGCCCATTTGACGCAACAAATACCCTCGAGTTGCGCGGCTGTTTGTATCACCCGTCTCACCCTCGCAGAACCAGAGCTTCGAGATCCACCATTCGAGATTGAATACACCACAACGATATTATATAGGCCTGCGGGTCTGTGGCATACGTCACTATGCCCGCCTCAAGCTCCCAAGATCCTGCGCATCCTTCGACCCCTCCACAGTCGATACCTTTGCGGGACCTTGCGCGACCACCAGGCTCTGTGGGTATTGGGGATGGAGAGAGGCGGCAGCATACCCGTGGAAGTAGTCTCTTGAATGGCGGCTTCAGGCCATTGAGCGGAGAAATCGCTGGGCCCAGATATGAGAGACTTGGGAATACTTCTCCCAGCCCAACGCAAAGGCGGACTCATGGCAATAATTCACAACCCGCGCAGCAGCAAAGAAGGGTGACGGTGGAAGACGATGTTGAAGTTGAAAATCCAGGGGAATTCCAATCGGCAATGGGCTTTGCTGGACTTCTGGTACCAGACATAAGTGTTTCGCATGCTCCACTAACGCGTACGCTCTCCTATAGCTCTGGCGATCACGAACGTCTGGATAGGATATCGCCGTATGGAGATGGGATGGACGAGCACCGACCCTCGTACTATCCCCCGGATTCCGACACAATACCTCTGACGGACCCAACATCTCTTCAACCAATGAGTGGCACTCAATTTTCGACACCTGAAGGGCAACAGCATGGCAGATCAAGCTTTCAGAGTGTCACTTTTGATACTCCAGAATACACAAGAGGATCCAGGCTGGGGGACGACTTGCAGGACCCGGAAGCCGGAATGCGGTCAAGGAGTAGCTATGGAAAGTCCTTGACTCCGAGCGGAGGGCGAAACAGGTCACGATCTCCCTCGACTGCTGGGGTCTTACAAACGGCTGGATCAATAGTTCGTGCGATGTCGCAACGTGTTGTCAACCTTGGTGGGGAAGCCGAAGCGATTGAATCAAGTGCGCGGAGAGAAGCGTGGAGAGCAACTCGTAAGATAGCTGCTAGGGATGGCGCCACCAGCACACCAAATACACTGGACAGTGCGGGCAGTATTGCAAGTCTTAGTGATGAATCGGAGACGAGATTCCAGCCGAAACACAAGAAAGATCCTTTGGCTGCGGGGCCCAATTACCAGCAAAACCTTCCCACTGCCCCCGTTGAGAAAGCTATGCGCTTCTTTGGAGGAGCTCAGCCACAGGCGAGTTTCGAACAGGAACCAGAGAAACCCCAAAATCCGCTAAGGGGCAAGAGCTTGGGAATCTTTGCCCCAGAGAGCCAAATTAGGAACAAATTGGCTGATGTCCTTGTCTATCCTCTGACGGAGCCCGCGATTCTTATTCTCATTGTCATCCAGACCGTCCTCCTAGCAGTTGAAGGCTCCAAAAGTGTTTACAAGCATCCGCGCCCAGCTCGCTGGGGTAGATCTTCCATTGACTATGCTCTACTTGGCTTGTTCATCGTCTTCACACTGGAAATGGCGGCGCGGATAATCGTGTCTGGCCTCATCATGAACGCCCCGGAGTACAGTACGAGGAAGAACAAGAGCGGGTTCAAGGCTACTATCATCGACAAGTATCATGCTGTCTTTAGACCGCAACGAACCATGTCCCTCCGAGTTCCTCGAAATCCTTCTCTAGAGGGTCGGACAATAATTCGTTCTTTTACGGACATCCAAGGAGAGTCCGTTCGGACAGTGGAACAAGCACAACGTCTACAACTAGCAAGGCGTGCATTCTTGCGGCACTCATTTAACAGGCTTGACTTGTTGGCTGTTGTTGCTTACTGGATCGCGTTCGTTATGAGTATAAGCGGTTATGAAGACTCATCTCACTTGTACATCTTCCGAATGCTCAGTTGCCTCCGAATTCTGCGATTGCTAGCTCTTACACACGGTACTGCTGTAAGTAGAGTGTATCTTATCTGGTGGGTCATGCTCACATGTATCTTCAGATTATCCTTCGGAGCTTGAAAAAGGCCACCCCACTACTACTTAATGTCTCCTTTCTCATCGGATTCTTTTGGCTCTTGTTCGCCATCATCGGAGTTCAGAGCTTTAAATCTAGCTTCAACCGACAATGTGTTTGGATCGACCCGACAGATCCTACCAACAGCACCGGCACAGCATACACCCAGATTCTGCAATTCTGTGGTGGTCATCTCGATATCGAAACTGGCGCACCCATGCCCTACCAAGTTGGTTTTCCTGATCAGATCAGGAATGGCTCTACTTCCTCCAAGGGGTATCTCTGCCCTCGCGGATCTTTGTGCCTCGAACTGAGCCCCAATAAGCTTCCTTACAATGGCACTGTTAGTTTCGACAACATTTTCCAGTCATTGGAATTGGTCTTTGTTGTCATGACCGCGAACACGTTCACAGATCTCATGTACTACTCCACGGACTCAGACTATCTGGCCGCCGCTCTCTTTTTTGCAGGAGCCATCGTGATTATGACGCTTTGGCTTCTCAATTTGCTGATCGCAGTCATTACGTCTTCCTTTCAGATCATCAGAGAGGAAGGAAGGGCAAGCGCTTTCACAGCTCAGCTTAAGGACATGCTCCCCTCGGAGAAGGCCGATACAGCAGAAAGGCACACTGCTTTGAAGAAATGGTACAACAAAACTCAGCAGATCTGGATTATCGTGATAATATTCGGCCTTCTCTCCCAATCAGTTCGTACCGCGAATATGTCCAACGCCCGTGCCGAGTTCATCGACGACGCGGAAATTGTTGTGACCTTCATCCTGTTGGTGGAGATTATCATTCGCTTTGCTGCTGACTGGCGTGGGTTCTTTCAAGACAAACAATGTCTCGTCGATCTCAGTCTAGCAGTTATCACTACTGTCATTCTCCTCCCGCCGATCCGAAATTCCGGTCAAGCATACAATTGGCTTACCCTATTTCAAATATTGCGAGTCTACCGCGTCATTATAGCCGTTCCTGTTACCAGAGGTTTAATTACGCTAGTCCTAGGAAATTCAAAGGGTATCGCCAATCTCATGCTCTTCGTCTTCTTGCTTACCTTCTTGATGTCAATCTTTGCCATACAGATGTTCAGGGGGGAATTGACTCCGACCGATGCCCATGGAGACACCATTCAAATTACTTTCTTCACTATCTATAATGCGTTCCTCGGCATGTACCAAGTCTTGTCGAGTGAAAACTGGACAGCGAACCTGTACAATATCACCGCATTCAGCACAGCTCGGAACACCGCTTGGATGGCCGCTGCCTTCTTCATTGGATGGTTCATTCTCGCAAATTTCATTCTGGTGAATATGTTTATAGCAGTCATCCAGGAGAACTTTGACGTCTCGGAAGATGAGAAACGGATGCATCAGGTCAGGTCATTCTTGAATCGGAAAGAAGCTGGCAGCAGCTCTAGTAATCTGTCACTTTCCGCTCTCTTTCGATTCGGACGAGCGAGGTCAAAGAAAGATCCACTGGATTACGGACCTGCGACTATGGAAATGCTGCTCAAGGACGCTGTCGTGAAAGATTTTCTTGATGACGAGATGATGAACGAGATGCAGGCTCCTGCTACTGCCACACCTCCTCAAGACGCGACTGCCGTCAAGACTGGAATGTGGAGCAAGTTCAAAAGCCGAATTTGGCACCGGGAACCAAACCCTTTCTACTCGGACTTTCAAGTCTCTAAAGGTGTTGATGAGCAGACCGACGCAAGGACTTTGGCTAAAGAAGCCGTCTCTGCAACTTCTCAGCGCAGGAAAGCACAGCGGGAGTTTCTTGCACGTCACCCAAATTACAATAACGCCTTGTTTATTTTCCGACCTACAAATCCTATCCGTCGTCTCTGCCAGAGAATTGTTGGTCCCGGTCGAGGAAGTGAGCGATTTGACGGCGTAGAGCCGAACCTACTCGTTTGGTACATATTCTCCGCATTCATTTACTGTGCCATTGTTGCGATGGTTATACTTGCTTGCGTGACGACGCCACTTTACCAGAAAGAATTTTTTCAAACCCACACCTTCAACGTGAGGAACTGGTTTGTATGGACGGACCTGTCATTTGCGATTCTGTTCACAGTTGAGGCTTTGATCAAGGTCATTGCGGATGGATTTTTTTGGACCCCTAATGCATTCTTCAGGAGCTCATGGGGTCTCATCGATGGTTTGGTACTCATCACATTCTGGATCAGCGTTAGCACGGCACTTTCCAACGACGGCGCAGTATCAAGAGCTGTAGGGGCATTTAAGGCACTCCGGGCTCTGAGGCTGCTCAACGTGAGTGATAGCGCTCGAAATACCTTCCACTCCTTGATCATCGTCGGGGGTTGGAAGGTCCTCTCGGTGAGTTTCTAATCTAAGACTGCCACATTGATGGGTGGAAGCTGACTTGAAAGGCTGCGTTTGTCTCTCTGTCTCTGTTGATACCCTTCGCTCTCTACGGGGTCAACCTCTTCAATGGCAAAATGATGTCGTGTAACGATGGGTCCGATTCTATTATCAAGCTTACGGACTGTTTTGGCGAATATAACAACACACCATTCAGTAACGACTGGCCCATCTTGGCACCGCGAGTGGTATCGAACCCCTTCTACGATTTTGATGATTTTGGAGGCTCGCTCTTCATCTTGTTCCAAATTGTGTCTCAAGAGGGTTGGATGGATGTGATGTGGAGTGCAGAGTCGATTGTTGGCCATGGACTTCAGCCACGAGACTATGCATCCCAAGGCAACGCAATATTCTTCGTCATATTTAACTTGCTTGCTACAGTCTTCGTTCTGACAGTGTTCATTTCGGTCTTCATGCGGAACTACACGGAACAAACGGGCGTGGCATTCTTGACGGCAGATCAACGGTCATGGGTCGAACTCCGAAAGCTTTTGCGGCATGTACAGCCCTCGAAACGGCCCCCTACGACTGGAGGAAATGCGCTCAAAGACTGGTGTTACAAGAGAGCAGTGAGAAAGCATGGTCGGTGGCAACGCGCCATAACTATAGTGCTCGTTTTCCACCTCATACTGATCTTGGCCGAATACTACCCTGAGCCTGAGTGGTGGGATAAGACTAGAACCTACATTCTGCTAGCGTGCACGATGTTCTACATGACAAACATCATTGTGCGAATCATCGGACTCAGCTGGGCACGGTTCAGACGGAGCTCTTGGGATTTATTCTCGATATTCGCTGTTTTTGGGACCTTTACGACGACGGTTCTCCTCATGTCGAGCTTTCAGAGCCAAGTTTACGTACAGATGCATAAGATGTTTCTAGTTTCCGTCGTCTTCCTTCTTATCCCTCGAAACGAGGCGCTGGACCAATTGTTCAAAACAGCGGCCGCTAGTGCTCAATCCATCGGGAATCTCCTGGCAACATGGTTTGTCTTGTTTCTAGTCTTTGCCATCGCCTTGACACAGACATTTGGGCTCACAAGATTCGGTGACAACGAGACCGATAATCTCAATTTCAGAACCGTCCCGAAAGCACTGATCCTGCTATTCCGGATGTCTTGTGGTGAAGGATGGAATGCTATCATGGAGGATTTCGCCACAATCAGACCTCCACTCTGCGTGGACGACCTCAGTTTCTTCAACAGCGATTGTGGCAGTACGGGTTGGGCCAGAGCTTTATTCATCCTTTGGAACATATTGAGCATGTACATCTTCACGAGTTTGTTCGTCTCGCTCATCTACGAAAGCTTCAGTTACGTCTACCAACATTCAAGCGGGCTTGGTAAAGTTAGTCGAGAGGAGATCCGGCGCTTTAAACAGGCATGGGCTACCCTGGATCCCGAAGGAAAGGGATACATTTCTAAAGAGCAGTTTCCCAGACTGCTTGGAGAGCTTTCTGGTATCTTTGAAATGCGAATCTACCCGCAGGAACATTCGGTAGGCAAAATTCTGGAAGACATCCGGGGCGAACCGACGGGAGCCAGGCACATGTCCATGTCGTCAGGCCCAGCCCTGACCAGCGTCAATGTGAGGGCTCTGAACAAGAGACTCGCCCAGATTGACGCGCAGGCTGTCCGGCGATCACGAGCTCGGTATAATCTCTTTTTTGAGGAAGTGATGATCTCCGCCGATGTTGATAAAGGGATTTCGTTCACGACTGTGTTGATGATCTTGGCACATTATAACGTCATCAGCGACAACAAGAGTTTGAAGTAAGAGTCTTCGTCTGATGGTTTGAGGTTATGCTAACTTGATCCAGGCTCGAGGAGTTCTTGCGTCGTCGTGCTCGCCTCCAACGAGTCGAAGAGGAAGTGCGCAGGCGAATCGTTCTTGGCTTTTTCGATACCATGTAAGGATAAATACTCACGTACCTCCATTGTTATTACTAACACGTTTGTAGGTACTATTCTAGGAGATTTCAAAGGCACCTAGAACAGAAGAGATCAGGCCGCATGGCTGATATTCCACAGCTAGGCCCTGAAGTCTACACTGACGATACGGACGATGTCGCCAAGCAAGCAAAAGTAAACGTCTCTCCGATGCTGTCCCCACTAAAGGCCGTGGACCCTCGAACCTCATTCATCACCCACGGCTTAGACGGCGCCGTCGGCACTCGTAGACGAGGATCTTCTGCAGTTAGTCCATCGTCACCAACGACTCCAGGAAAGTCTCCCCCTGTGCCGCATAATGTCTCTCCTGGGTTATCGCCACGAATGTCACGTCACAAACCAACAAATTCAGCACACAGCAACTTCAGTTTCGATGGCAACGAACAGCTCGGTGTCGGAAGGCAAGGGCCAACGCCAACAGGGTCTGCGAATAGCAGTAGACGCGGGAGTGCAGTCAGTGCCGAAAACGTGCTCGACGTGCTTGATAATTCGGCGTGGGGGGAGAGTATCCGGCGCAGTTTCACGATGAGGAGACCTGGTGATAGGCCAGGCAGACCGGGCCGAGGAGGGAGCGTCACTTAGCCGTACACGGATTCTTTCAGGGGATTTGGGGGAGGACAGAGGGGGGGTGTGGCCACGGGATTCTGGGTGGATCTTTGCAGCCGGTGACCGTGCGAGGTTGTCGCACAATTTGGGGTTTGAAGGGCGCACATGGCGTTTTACGGACCTCACCCACCACAGATGGGGCAGGGTAGGGCATCATGATGAATTTCTTTCGATTCTGGGAGCGGGATCCCGCATAAGGCTGTAAATAGGATGGATGGATGGCTGGCTGGCCCTGTATGGTGCGTTGAACGCGGGCAGGGATCCAGAACGGGGAGAAAGGGGCGTTCATGTCACGAAGAGGGGAACTGTTGTTTATATGCATAGCCTGGCGTTCTACTGTACAGAACTCGGACAGTACCTAATTGAATAGAGTGGGGGGGCGCAAGGGGGATCGGCGACATTATTCATTCCGTGTATGTTAATTGATATGGGTCTTAAACCCACAAAGTGGAGAGAAATGGGAAGAGGAAAGTTCGGATTGTGATTCATCCCTCCTCCCTCCCATCACGAAAGGGAATAGCGTGGATCCAACCTCTCTGATTGTGACTCTGCATCTTTAGGTAAGGTAAGGTAGGTAGGGTACTCCTCGGCAGGTTTCCCGGCGTCGCGTCGGATCTGTTCTTACCTATCTGTACTGTATCGTGTTCCGTGGTTCTGTACTTGCGAAGGAAGTTATGTACTTTCGTGACACCTCTCTGTCTTCTCTCTAGGGGCACACACACATGTAGGTAGGTGGGTGGGTCTCTCGGCACTAGTTTGCGTATGCGTAGGCGTCTGCGTCTGCGTTTGCGTTTGCGTATGCGTTTGGTTCATTCCTTTCCAGAAAAAAAAAAAAAAAATAATATATATATAAATTTTACTGGGCCCTTGGCGTCTGTCTCATCGTTTCTATCGTCCCCTTCTCCTTGGAGCGTGGAGTGTGGAGCTTTTGCTGCGTAGGTAAGTGAGTAAGTAGGTAGGTAGGTAAGTAGGTACCTTAGGTAAAGCGAGGAGCCAGGAATCCCGTCTTGCTACCTACAATCGTCGGCTCGCCTAGGTGGGCCGGCCTCCTTCCAGCCTTTCATTTCAGTCTCAGTCTCCGTCGGTATATAAGCGACTGACTGCGGATCGGAAGCGCGTGCGGATTTTTCGCACGTATGAGAAATGCTTGTCTCCTAGGTATAGCAATCTACTATTACGTACGATACGACTCAAAAAAGATATCTCACATCGATAAGGGATTTGCGATTATGTCTTCTTCCGATGTGTGTAAATTTTTTTAAATCGGATTGGCTGGTAGAATATCTGACTATCGATTGCGATTTATTTTGAAAGGCGGTGAGGAGGCCTACTTAGGCGAGCTGAGGATTGGTGTAGTGTGGTAAGTAAAGTGGGTAGGTAGGTAAGTGAAGTGAGTAGGTAAGTAAAGTGAGTAGGTAAGTAAAGTGAGTAAGTGAGTAAGTGAGTAAACAAGTAAACAAGTAAACAAGTAAACAAGTAAACAAGTAAACAAGTAAACAAGTAAACAAGTAAACAAGTAAACAAGTAAACAAGTAAACAAGTAAGTCAAACCGAGAAGGGCGCGCCGAGTATTTTTTATTTTTATTTTATTTTATTTGTTTACTTTCATTTATCTACGGTATTGCACGCCTCCCCTTTTCTGTATGTATGTGCATACGAATACTTACTTACCTACTTACTTACTTACCTACTTACTTACTTACCTACTTACTTACTTACCTACTTACCTACTAGCAGGTACTGATTTCACGTTTCATACGTAGGTAAATAGGTAGGCACGTAGGTGTGACCGTGGGAGAAGGTACGGTAATTCGGTAATTCGGTAATACCTACGGGTAGCAGGCAGGCAGGCAGTAAGTAAGTATCACCACATCAATTAGAGACGAGACAGCAAGCAACCTTGGGAGGTTCACGGGAGGAGGGTTGGGGGGTAACTCCGCATGTCAAAGGGACGAA